ACAATAGCGTAAATTTTATTTACATAACTTGCAACAGTTGCTGAATAATACCGTTTAAATAAAACAGTGTCCGATTTCCACGTTACTTTAATATTCGGACACTTTCAAAAACTACATATGCACATACTTATTTTTCGGCTGGTTTTTGTTACAATACTTGTTTTAATATTTTGTTGGGTAGCCATCCTGCTTTATCACTTCTTGCAAACGCTGCTGCATATTATTAATAATTTTGTTTAAATATTCAGTACTCAAACTGTTCCATTCTTCTTTTAAACGATTTTTTAACATTTCTCTGGAAGATATTGGTGTTTTTCGAATTCGGCGCTCTAGTTCATCCCACACATTTTCAATGGGGTTAAGGTCAGGTGATTGAGGTGGTGGTTACAAAACTTTTAGGCAATTGTACAGCAAATATTCCTGCACAATGCGTGCCTTATGTTTCGGGTCATTATCCTGGTAGAACTTGAACGTATTTAAAATCTCCATTTTTGTAGCACTTCTGAGTAAATTTTTTTTTTCAATATGTTCATGTACAAATTTTTGTCGATAATCTTTTCGATGAAAATTAATTCGCCCGGTCCGAAAGTCAAAATACAGCCCCAGACCATTACACTGCGACCTCCGTGCTTTACGCTCGGCCGAAGATTTTTAAATTTAAACTCTTCCTTTTTTCTCCGCCACACCATCGTTCGTCTATCTGACCCAAAAATATTAAATTTACTTTCGTCAGAAAAGATGACATCATTCCACCATCTTTCATCCTTCAAAATAAATTCTTTGGCATAATTCAGTCTCTTCTTTCGATTCTTTTCACTCACGTACGGTTCTTTCTAGCCACTCTTCCATTGTAGCCGCTATTTTTTAAGGCTCTGCGGATCGTTTGAGGTTGCACGTTTTTTTCCAGTCTCGTTTAACAGCTCTAATGCTAATTTTGGGGCACTGAGCGCAGAGTCCTTCTTTATTTTTCTTAGCAATTTTCTCTCATAGCGAACGTCTAGTTTCTTCGGTTGACCTTTTTGGGGTATAAAATCTATACGATCCTCGCATTTGAACCGCTTGACTATATCTCCCACTGTACTCTTGCTTATGTTTAGCAGAGCAGCAATTTCTCTGTACGATTTTCCTTTGGCATTATGATATATTACAAATTGCCGTATATCAAAACTCGTGTTCGCTTTGCGAGGCATTGTACAAGTGTATTGCACGATGATCGACAAATAACTAATAAAATAAGGCTTAAACTAGAACGCTTGACTAGATTTGTAAATAAACATTGTCCTCTAATTTGGCGTAATTCGGCTTGAACATTGGAAAAAGCGCTACATTGTAAAGTGTAGTGTAGTACGAATATTAAAGTAACGTGAAAATCGGACAATGTTTTATTTAAACCGTATTATTGAACAACTATTGTAAGTTATTTAAACAAAATTTACGCTATTGTTTATTAAGCGTATACTTCATCATAATCCTTAGTCATTTTTTTTTTTTTTAGAAATTAGGTTATAACGTAATACAGTAAAAATCTCATAGTGTCCGAATATTAAAGTTACACACTGTAAGTATTAAAAGAAGTTTTAACCCATTCATTACGAATTTTATATTTTTAGTTTTTGCAATATTTTTTGTATTTACCCGCTCCGTGATTACTTTATAAGGTGATTTATTCACCTTAGTTGGTAATTCATAGAGGTGTAGTTTTTGGGACATACATGTGCTGTCGGTAGCAAAAGAGTTAAGTAAAAGTAACCTTAGTCATAAAGTCAATAATTACAAGGCTTACGCGGCATGGATGTTATGTAAACTATATTTTTCGCGACATTTGACCGCGTGCACTGCATGCCTGATTTCGAGAGTAAAAAAAGAAAGTCTGCTAAAAGATTATATATTCTATAGAAGCAAATATAAATTAAAAGAAGGTATTTGAGAAATATTAATTTTATTTTGTGTGTAAGACGTATTATGGAGTACACAGTATGATATTAATGGACTGTGGAAGAGATACCCCCACTTGCAAATGCTGTTCCCTCTATTTTTAAAAATCCCTCTGCAAGTCCTTCCATGTATTTTGCCTGCCATTGCTACCCTTTGCCTTTGCTGCACGATGAGACAATGGATGTCTCATCTTCGTCCGCTTAGTTTTCAATTTTTTAAACTAATTTTATGACGTTAAATACTGAATTTTTTAG